ACACCAGGGGGTGTGCTGTCCTTCCCTGTCCTTCACTATCTCCCATAGTTTGCTCAAATTCATGACCACTGAGTTAGCGATGCTATCTAACCATCTCATCCTCTGCCGCCCTCTTCTTTTGCCTTCAGTCTTTCCCAGCATCAAGGTCTTTCCTAATGAGTCTGCTCTTCAAGGTTAGGTGGCCAAAGCATTGGAACTTCAGTTTCAGCGTCAGTCCTTCCAATGAATATTCAGGGTAGGTTTCCTTTAGGTTTGATCTTTCAGTCCAAGGGACTTTCAAGAGTCCTCCAGCACCACAGTTTGAAAGCATCAATTGTTCGGTCCTCAGCCTTCTTTTAGAAGACAAATTAGATATCAACTTAAAAATGCAAGGAGATAAACATTTTCACAAAATGCTCTCTTGGACTTTCATTGCTGTGTCCTCTTCAATCTTGTCTCCTCTCTCTGGGTCCATCCAGCCTGCTGCATTTAGTTCAGAGCCTCACAGAAGCCCCTGCCACCTAGGCTAAGGGTACAGATGTAGAGTCACTGATGTAGGTTGCATGCTAGGACTTCACAGCTACACCACATGTTAGTAACATAACACCTCTGTGCATCATTTCCTTATCAGTAAAATGAGAATAATAGTATTACCCCGTCATTATTGAGGATTAAATGAGGAAAATCATGTAAAGCACTTAGTCATGTGTCTGGCTCTGAGTAAGTGTCCAATAAGGATTAACTACTAGCTCACCATACTTCGGAGAATCGCACCTTAGTTGATCTGTCACCATTAGTCTGAGGAGACAGGGGATCAGAAAGCTGGTATGAGATTTCTAAAAGTCAAAACTGGAATTCAGTCATTTATTTAACAAATATATGTCTGCTAAGGTGATGGACAGGGAGACCTGGCGTGCTGCGGTTCATGGGGTCACAAAGAGTCAGGCATGACTGAGCAACTGAACTGAAGTACTAGACAGTGTTCTAGGTGCTGAGGATATTACAATGAACCAAACAAAGCCCCTTCCTCTCCTGAAACTTAATTTTCGTAGTGGGCTGAAATGGATGAGGAGTTGATAGCTAAGAAGCATATATACAGCAGTAAAAGCTGAGGATGTGATAAGTTCTATGAAGAGAAAGTAGGGAAAGAGGGAGGCAGTGTGTCGGGATGGGCACTACTTCATATTAGATGGTCAAGGAAAACCTCTCAAGTTGTTATGCAAAAAACTGGGTCACCAGTCTTTATGGTGGGTATCCAGCCAGAGAACACAACCAATGGGAATTCCCTGGCAGTCCAGATGAAACTGTCCGTGTCAGATTGAGACTTGAACCCTGGCAAAATCCATGGTCTTCCATCTAAGATCACACACCTGATTTCAGAACTTAGTGAAGCTCAAGTCTTCACTTGATGTCTCATCACAGAAAGAATTCCTTGAGAGACAAACTGATAGGCAAGAAGTAGATTTATTAATATAGGAAGCTTGTAAGATGAAAGTGGGCAGGTGAGGGAGCTCTGTCCCAAGGATTAAGTGGGCTACAGTTTTATAATCAAAGGAAAGTTTTGGAGTAGGAAAGACCCCCTTTTCTGAGTAGACATCAGGCTTACATCATTATCTCCTCCTTAATATCAGGAAGACAGTGTCTGACCCTATGAGGTCAAACTAGGGTTATCATAGTGCTTATTCAAATCAGTAGAAGGGTAGTGACATTTTTCTTTCACCTAATGACCTGGAGGCATATCTTGTGCTCTTATTGGCTTTATAGTTAAGCGAGACTACTTAGTTTCATGACCTTGTTCTGTTAGCTTTCTTGAGTGATCATTTACATACTGTGGTCTCCCAAAATTTCCTAGGGTTCCCTCTATATATCGGTCCTAAAGGAAATCAACCCTGGATATTCATCGGAGGTGGCTTCAATACTTTGACCACCTGATGCAAAGAGTCAACTCATTGGGAAAGACCCTGATGATGAAATGGAGCAGGACCATATGGTCCTTGACCCCACACCATGTCCTCTGCCTGTCTTTTGCCTGTGGAAAACTTTAGTCAAAGAATAAGTTTAATCAGAGAAGTGAGAAATGCTGAAACAAAGGAGACTAAATGATAATAATGTAGTCTTTAAGCATAGTCAAGGACCTTTAGTTCTTTCTCAAGAGCTATAGATAATGTTCTGAGTCATATCCTGTGAGCTGTCTTACAGATACCAAAACGTCAGGTGAAGTTAACTACGTGCTGACCAGACTGTACCCAGGACTTGAGTGAGCTGCCACAGTTCTGAGAACTGACCTCAAAGAAATGGGAGCAAGTGTACCCTGGAAATGAAGATTTAACTGTATCTAAAACAACCAAGATGATGCTGGTCACACCACTGATGACCAATTGAACATAACTGTTAGAGATGACTGTGCTGTTTCTGCATGTAACCCACTGCCCCCCAACCCACTCTATTTATAAAAACTCTCACCCCCTCCTTATTGGCAGGGAGCTGGGGGGAATTGGCCTTTGGACAGGTGTCTGCCACCTTCCCCCCCCCACCCCCCCAGTTGCCAGCATCTGAAATAAAGCAAACTTTCCTTTCCACCAACCTGGTCTGCTTATTGGCTTTTGAGCGTTGAGCAGCTGGATGCCCTCCCCCGCCCCAGCCCACACACATACCTCCTTTGGGTAACAATGCTGGGAAATATTGAAGGCAAAAGGAGAAGGGAGTTGCAGAGGATGAGATGGTTAGATGGCATCACCAACTCACCGGACATGAATTTGGGCAAATTCTAGGAGACAGTGAAGGACAAGGAAGCCTGGCATGCTGCAATCCATGGGGGTCACAAAGAGTTGGACATGACTTAGCAACTGAACAACAAAAACTGGAACTTTCACAGCTACCTGTATAACTATTCTATTCTATTCCTATTCCCAGGTGGCACTAGTGGTAAAGAATCCATCTGCCAGTGCAGGAGACATAAGAGATAGGGGTTCGATCCCTGGGTGAGAAAGATCCCCGAGCAGAGGGCATGGCAACCCACTCCAGTATTCTTTTGTTTATTTGTTTGTTTTTACACTCCAATATTCTTGCCTGGAAAACCCAATGGGCAGAGGAGCCTAGCGGGCTTCACTGTGTAAGTTCGAAAGGAGGCAGACATGACTGAAATGACTTATCACACACACATTTCCTATCACAGTGGTCAGGACTCTTTGCATTCACTGCTGAGGATCCAGGTTCAATCCCTAGTCAGAGAACTAAGATCTTGCAAGCCATGTGGTGCAGCCAAAAACAAAAACAACAAAAAAGACACAAGCAAGCCAAAGAGTAGAAGAAGGAATGATTTATTTCTTGCAGCAAGTAAGGAGAACACCATGGATTTTTCCTGCAGCAGTATCTCCCCAAACAGCAAAATTGGGCAAGTTTTGAACTATGGGAACATGCATATTCATGAAGGGACTCAAGCTAAAGAGAATTCAGCATAGAATTGGGACAAAGCTTGCCAGAACCCAAGCTTTAGTTGATTGAGGGTCAGAACACATCAGCATTATCATGCCTTAGGTTCCAACCAGTTTGGGATCTTGACATGTATTGACAGTTACCATCCTCCACCTGGGTGGAGACCTTGTGTGTTAGTTGCTCAGTTGTGTCCAACTCTTTGACACCCCATAGACTGTTGCCTGCCAGGCTCCTCTATCCATGAACTTCTCCAGGCAAGAATACAGGAGTGGGTAGCCATTACCTTCTTCAGGGGATCTTCCCAGCTCAGGGATCAAACCCAGCTCTTCCACATGGCAGGCAGATTCTTTACCATCTGAGCCACGAGGGAAGCCGCTAAGGTGGAGACCTTAGTTCCTGAAGAACAGCTCAGAGATATACATCAGATTGTTAAAAGACTGTTTTAGCACTGAACTATTGTTTCTTGACTGCTTTTCCTTTGTTGCTGCCTTCTTTTTTTCCCTTGTTGTTGCCGTTCTGTCACTAAGTCCTGTCCAACTCTTTGTGACCCCATGAACTGCAGCATGTCAGGCTTCCCTGTCCTTAACTGTTTCCTGGAGTTTGCTCAAACTCATGTCCATTGAGTCAGTGATGCCATCCAACCATCTCATCCTCTGTCACCCACTTCTTTTGCCCTCAAATCTTTCCCAGCATCAGGGTCTTTTCCACTGAGTTGACTCTTTGCATCAGGTGGCCAAAGTATTGGTGCTTCATCTTCAGCATCAGTCCTTCCAGTGAATATTCAGGGTTGATTTGCTTTAGGATTGACTGGTTTCATCTCCTTGCTGTCCAAGGGACTCTCAAATTCAGGGGACTCGCCACAGTTCAAAAGCATCAATAATTTGCGTTTCGCCTTCTTTATGGTCCAGATCTGACATCTGAACATGACTTAAGCCCATTAATTACTCAGGCCTGTTCAAGGGCAACCATTTTTGCCAGGCTTAGATCACAAAATGGCTTCGGCCAAAAATGGATTCTCTTATGTCAAGAAAGCCATGCCTGGTTCTTTTTCTCTGAGGGCCTCATATGTTATCTGTTTACAAGATTAGCTGACATTTGAGTACAGACAGACCCAAAGAAAGTAAGAGAAAAACTGTGGGTCTAGGAAAAGTGTGCCATGCACAGCGAACAATAAGAGCAAAGGCCCTGAGGTCTGACAATGTTTAGCGTATTTGACGAGGAAGAAACCAGGAAAGAGTGGGAAAAGTAAGAAGGAGGGGGGAACGTGGGTCATGCCGTAATGCATAGTCTTTTACTTAAGAATTTGACCTTTACACAGAAGGAAATAATAAGCTATTAAAAAGTTTTGATAAAAGGAGTAATATGATGTTTTCAGCTACTCTGTAAAGAATAAATTGAAAGGGGACAAAGATGAAAGTAGGGAGTCCAGTTAGGAGCCCAATTCATAGAAGATCCAGATGAGAAATGTTTGTGGCTGGGACTTGGGTGGTAGGGGTGTAGCTCTAGAGGAGTAAATCATGGAAAATGAGTAATAACTTGTTCCCCTTTGCAGAAAAATAGTGTTGATAGATGGGCTGGAGAGCTCCATGAGGCAGCCCCTATTCATCCTTTGTAACTTTAGCCCTGACCCTGGAACAAGAAAGGGGTTCCATAAATGTCAATTCATCAGTGAAAAAAAAATAATACTTTTTTTTTTTTTTGCCACTGCAGGCGCAGCCATGAGTATACTCAGACTTCAGGAGAGTCTTGCCTCCAGGGTCCTCCGCTGTGGCAAAAAGAAGGTCCGGTTGGATCCCAGTGAGACTAATGAAATTGCCAGCACCACCTCCCATCGGCAGATCTGGAATCTGATCAAAGATAGGCTGATCATGGGGAAGCCTGTGACTGTCCATTCCTGGGGTTGATGCCCGAAAACACACTGGCTTGCCGGAAGGGCAGGCATATAGGCATAGGTAAGCAAAAGGGTACTGCTGCTGCTGCTAAGTCACTTCAGTCGTGTCCGACTCTGTGTGATCCCATAGACGGCATCCCACCAGGCTCCACTGTCCCCGGGATTCTCCAGGCAAGAACACTGGAGTGGGTTGCCGTTTCCTTCTCCAATGTGTAAAAGTGAAAAGTGAAAGTGAAGTCGCTCAGTCGAGTCCGACTCTTAGCGACCCCATGGACTGCAGCCCACCAGGCTCCTCCATCCATGGGACTTTCCAGGCAAGAGTACTGGAGTGGGGTGCCATTGCCTTGTACTACTAGTGTTCAAATGCCTGGGAAGGTAACCTGGATGAGGTTGATAATTCTGTGCCAGCTGCTCAGCTGGTACTGTGAATCTAAGATTGACTGCCACATATATCACAGCCTGTACCTGAAGGTGAAGGATAACGTGTTCAAAAACAAGCAGATCCCCATGGAACATATCCACAAGCTGAAGGCAGACAAGACTCACAAGAAATTTCTGGTGGACCAGGCTGAGGCCCGTAGGTCTAAGACCAAGGAAGCCTGCAAGCCCCATGAAGAGCATCTCCAGGGCAAAAAGGAGGAAATCATCAAGACTCTGTCCAAGAAGGAAGAGACCAAGAAATAAAGTTCTCCCCTTCTTCTCTGTGCATAGTGGCTTCAGCAATTGCATAGATCACTCATTCAATAAAAAACAAGCCTTCATCTACCAAAAAAAAAAAAAAAAAAGATGGGCTGGCCTGCGTGGAGACTGACATGGAAGCCTCAAAACAGGCTGTTGTCTGGGTTTTGCCAAAGAAGAGAGACTGAATTTGGTGGGTAAGGATTCTCCTCCTTAGAGTGGTGGCCACTGGTATAGGGTAGTTCATGTACCCCATCTAACTTGAATGATAAAGTAGCTCTCAAACCTTTTCCCCATTTTGCCTTGATTCTCTGCTTGCCAAGCATCCAAGATCTCTTAATTGATGTATTTTACATAAGTGGTTTGATCTCAAGAAAAGAATGACCCTCTCCCACTAGGAATGAGTTGTTTGGTATCAATCTCTTATGTTTGTAGTGTGAATCACCTATCTTTTCTGGAACCAAGAGCTAGGAACAAGGTGACACCCATCAGTTTCTTTTGCATCTAGCTCATTGTATCCTCTGTCTCCCTCACAGACTACCAAATCTATGTTACTCCCCTGTTTAAAAACCTATACTGGGCCATTTCCAAGAGTAATGGTATGAACTTTAAGGCCCTTCATTACCTGACATTGAAATGGTGAACCTCTGATTGGAACTTGAATCCATGGTTTTTTCATTAGAATCACTCACCTGGTGTCTAGACTTACTGAGGATCAGGTTCTTTGTGTCTCAGAGCAGAAAGAATTCCGTGAAAGACAAAATGATAGGTAAGAAATGGATTTGTTTAGAGAGAAGCACGCCCCACAGACTGGGCCATCTCAGAAAGCAAGAGACCCTGAAATATGACACGGTTATTTTTTATGGGCTGGGTAATTTCATAGGCTCATGAGTGGGAGAATTATTCCAATTATTTTGGAAAGGGGTGGGGAGTTCCAGGAATTGGGCCAATACCCACTTTTTGATCTTTGATGGTCAGTCTCAGAACTTTCATGATGCCTGTGGGTGTTCATTTAGCTTTCTGATGTGTTAAAATGAGTGTATACTGAGGCACCAGGTCTAGTGGAAGTCGACTTCTCCACCATCTTGGACCTATTTGGGTCTAATCAGTTTATGTCATGTCCTCGGGCCATTCTTTTAAAATTTGTGCCCTGTTTCAACATCACTCTACTCTTCTAGGTCCTTTTGATATAGCCCAGATCGGTAACCAAGACAAGAAAACAGGAAATTTGCAGGAAGGCACTGAAAATTAGCACAAAAATTGAGACACTGACTTTAAAAGATTGATTGGCACCCCTTCAGCAGCACAATTAAAACCTTCCCACCTACACTGTCAGCTAATGTACATGATTGATAAACCCCATCTGTTCTGTTCACATCATGAATTATAGCTGATTTGAGGATGTGTCCTTGCCTGAAGCCAAAATCCTTCATGGTAGCTCTGGAAATAGCCAATTCTCAGTCATCCTGAAATTCTCTTTGTCCACCACGTCAGTTCAGTTCAGTCACTCAGTCGTGTCCGACTCTTTGCGACCCCATGAATCACAGCACGCCAGGCCTACCTGTCCATCACAAACTCCCAGAGTTTACTCAAACTCATGCCCATCGAGTTGGTGATGCCATCCAACCATCTCATCCTCTGTTGTCCCCTTCTCCTCCTGCCCCTAATCCCTCCCAGCATCAGGGTCTTTTCCAATGAGTCAACTCTTTGCATGAGGTGGCCAAAGTATTGGAGTTTCAGCTTCAGCATCAGTCCTTCCAATGAACACCCAGGACTGATCTCCTTTAGGATGGACTGGTTGGATCTCCTTGCAGTCCAAGGGACTCTCAAGAGTCTTCTCCAACACCATAGTTCAAAAGCATCAATTTTTCAGTGCTCAGCTTTCTTCACAGTCCAACTGTCACATCCATACATGACCCCTGGAAAAACCATAGCCTTGACTAGACGGACCTTTGTTGGCAATGTCTCTGCTTTTTAATATGCTATCTAGGTTGGCCATAACTTTCCTTCTAAGGAGTAAGCGTCTTTTTAATTTCATGGCTGCAGTCACCATCTGCAGTGATTTTGGAGCCCCAAAAAATAAAGTCTGACACTGTTTCCACTGTCTCCCCATCTATTTCCCATGAGGTAATGGGGCCAGATGCCGTGATCTTAGTTTTCTGTCCACCAGGTCAGCCATCCTCTTTTGTCTATGGCTGTGTGATAACCCCACCAGTAGGAATACTTTCCATGTCATTGTCTGCCTAATGTAACCCTTTATGGGATAACTCAATGTCACTTTCTCTGCAAAGCCTTTCCTGGCCCCCACCCTGTATTCACTAGCCAAGTTTTGCATGGTCTCATCTTTATTCAGCAGTTGCATTTTAATTCCTGTGCACTAGACAAAAGTTATGATCAGAGTTACCTGCAGAAATCCCTTAGGAAGATGCCACTTGGGAGACTGCTATATTGTCTCCTGTGGAACAAGGCAGCCAGTTTTTCTTGAATATGGCAACAAATCACTGTTTATTTGCACATAAAATATTCCATTTAGGTGTTAAAGTGTTTCGATGACTATAATCACACTTGTGGCAAAAGCACACACAAAAGCTATGACACACATAGACAGAGACATCACCTTGTCAACAAAAGTACATATAGTCAAAGCTATGGTTTTTCCAGTAGTCGTGTACAGATGTGAGAGTTGGACCATAAAGAAGGTTGAGTGTCCAAGAATCGATACTTTTGAATTATGGTGCTAGAGAAGACTCCTGAGAGTCCCTTGGACATCAAGGAGATCAAACCAGTCAATCCTAAAGGAAATCAAGCCTGAATATTCACTGGAAGGACTGATGCTGAAGTGCCAATACTCTGGTCAACTGATGTGAAGAGCCAATTCACCGGAAAAGATCCTAATGCTGGGAAAGATTGAGGGCAGGAGAAGAAGGAGGCGACAGAAGATGAGATGGTTGGATAGCGTCATTGACTCAATGGACATGAGTTTGAACAGACTCCAGGAGATAGTGAAGGACAGGGAAGCCTGTCATGCTGGGATTCACGGGCTCTCAAAGACTGGTGTACATGGGGTCTCCAAGACTTGGACACGTCTAAGTGACTGAACAACAAACAAAGTTTGTGGAATCTGAGACTCACTGAGACAACCACCTACCACCGTCTCTCCAGGAAGCTATCTGTCTCAGCGTGGAACAGTAGGTAGGTGTCTCCTTCCCTTCCTCCCTCCCTACTAAGCCAGGATTCACATGTGGAAAATTCACATAAGTCAAGATTATATGACCCTTGTTCAGTATTATCTTTTCTTTTCTTTTCTTTTTTACCACATGGCTTGCAGGATTTTAGTTCCTCAACCAGGGATCTGATGCCAAAACCTCAGCTTCTCTGTACACTGGTGCCTAATTGAATCTGGGAAACAGAGTTTTGGGTAAAGCAGAAAAGGATAGCCTTATTGTTTTGTCAGACGAAGAGGGACACAGTGGGCTAATGCCCTCAAAATCATCTGTCCCACTTGGGGATGATAGCAAGAAGTTTTATAGTACTGTTCAAAGATGGCATGATCAATTCCTGGACATTCTTCTGATGGGTTGGTGGTGCGTAAGTAGGAGTCAGCATCAACAACCTTCAGGTCCAACTGGTGTAGGGTCTCCACGCTGTGGGCAGCACACCATCATTAATCATTAACTTGCCCACCGGAAGTTTCAGGATCTGGAAAATAGCTCAAAGATCTTGTTGTGCTGTTGATGGGGAAACAGGACCTTGCCCCAAGGCTGCTCTTGACTAAGTTTCTCCCTAGACTTCTATCTCCTCTATCCTTAATTATGGGCTTCCCTGGTGGCCCTGCTGAAAAAAACCTGCCTGCCAATTCAGGAGACATGGGTTCGATCTCTGGGTCAGGAAGATACCCTAGAGTAGGAAATGGCAACCCACTCCGGTATTATTGCCATGGAAATCCCATGGGCAGAGGAACCTGGCAGGCTACAGCTCATGGGGTTGCAAAATGTCGTCGGACAAGACCAAGCACTAGTGAATGCACGCATGCACCGCCCTTCCCTAATTAACAACAGCTTGAATCTACCCACTGGAACTTGGAAGGTCATGGAGGCTAAATGAAGGTCATTTCCTATAATCAAAGAAATAGGGGACACAGAAAGACCTTGTGCCTAGGAGCCCCACGGGGCCCTGCATGGTATCAGATTGAATCCATGCCCTTGGCAGTGAAAGTGTAGGCTCCTAACCACTGGACCTCCATTGAATTCCCTGTATTGTTTTTGTAATTCCTTGTTCTGAAATTTCCCATCCAACCAGCAAAACTGAGTGCCCCAGAAGCATTCAGGACAGTTT